GTATCAATCATTAATTTTAATGTCGGCAAATAAATTTAAAACCCGATTACGTACAAGATTTTGGTGGTGATACTAGGCGGGTCTTAATTTGGGATTATCTGAGGCTCAAATTTTAATCATCCAAAATTATTTTAGAGTCAGCAAATATTTTAACGTTAAGGACCTATTATCGTTATGAAGTAAATCAGCGTTACGTAAAACAGGTAAAAACGTGATATAAATTGTAGTTCAAAGCCACGATCATAACAACAAGTTCCGATGACCAGACAAGGAAATTTTTTTGAACACGCAAACCAATCGTACTTTTTTTATCAGACTATTGATCATATTTTAAACTCATATATACATCAATGGTAAAAAAAAAATAGTATAGAGTGTACAATTATAGAAATCCCACATCATTCCTAGTATATACAAAGAAGCCTCATATAGTATACAAATATAGTAATCCCCGATTAAATCACGGGAAAGGACTATCCAATCAGATGCAAAAGAAACTCGGCACTTAACTTGTAGGTAGACCATACTCTTCGTCGCACTCCATTACTGGTACTCAATTCCTGAATGGTTACTTTAATTTTTACAAAATTCGTTTTTAATTTACTGTCGCTTGCTAGTAGAGATGATACCAGAAATTAGTAAAAAAGACAAAGCTAAAGATTCGGTATACAACGATAATAATAAAAAAATTCATGATGAAGAGGAGGATTTTAAAAAAAGCTCGGATGATTTTAACATTGAATTGATCACAACGGTATGTTATTAGACTTTATTTGTTATTCCAATATCTTCTTTTTCCTTCACATTGAAAATATGCCATATTTGAAATTTTAGGCAATTAGTACAGACGATGATCCAAATTTGCCATGTTTAACTTTTCGATATTGGGTGTTAAGTACTGTAAGTCTTATACGTATACAGTACGTACGTTAATAGAGACCAATATTACAGTATTAACGGTCCATTTTCACCTTCCTTATTTGAGATCTATAAAAAGGCAGAGAAACTAGAGTTTAAACCTATCTTGTAGTACTATCTAAACCTCTAATATATATACAAATTAACCTTAACTTCAAACTACTCTAACCTAATTTTAATTACTTCGCTTTAGATACCTTTCAAATAAGGAAATTGAAAAATGAGTCTGTAATATTGGTTATAAATAGATTGCACATACAATAAATAAGTCACGTAGCCTTAATCATGTGAATTTGTATGTAACTAGATACACCATATCTACTATTTCGCATGCTTATTTTCTTTTTACCTTATGAACTATGTATTATAGTTCTTTACGGCACTGGGTGCCGCAGTATCAGTATTCTACTTTTTTCGTGCAAATAACCTAGTTTATTCAGTATTCTTTGTGATACTCGTATCCTATATTGTGGGTAAATGGATGGAAAGAATCTTACCAAATAAGAAATTTGGTATTAAAAATTGGGAATTTAATCTAAATCCAGGTTTTATCGATTTTTACAAAATATTTTTGTTTGGAATCTTTGTCCATATAATAAATATCGTGTGTAACTAAGTATTGTGTAGGTCCTTTTAACTATAAGGAACATGTGTGCATAACCGTGGCAGCTACTGCTGGTGGTGTTAGCGCGTATGCTGTGGTAATATTTAAATCTTTGCTTTTATTTTTTTTTTTATTGACATAATATTTTTGATACATAATATTTTTGATATTTATATTTTCGCAATTCGCTTTATAGGATATTATCTCAATCCAAGAATTATTTTATGATACTAGAGTTAGTTTTTTAGTTGGTTTTATGTTATTGATTAGCACGCAAATGATTGGTTACGGGCTCGCCGGATTTGTTCGAAAATGTATGTATTACCAACAATCAAAAATAAATATCTTGAATAATTTTTATTTGAAAATAATTATTTGAAATATAATAATTATTTCAGAACAATTAACCTTTTCTATAAAATATTTTAATAAATGATACCATATCACTTACATGATTTTAGATTTGGTTCGTCCAGCCAACATGATATGGCCTCAATCTCTTGTCTCCGCTACAGTGTTCAACACATTACACGGCAATACTTCAGAAACGAACGATAAAATTCGATTTTTTACTATCGCTTTTGTTTCAATGTTTACTTGGCAGTTTATACCATCATACATATTTCCATGGTTAGCCAGTGCTGCCATATTATGCCTTATTGCTCCAAATAATAATATGATAAAGACTTTGGGAAGTTCTTATAAAGGTGCTGGAATTCTTAATATTTCCTTAGACTGGAACGCTATTGGTCAAGTCTCTCCCCTGTTCACACCATGGTAACTTTTGTTATAATTCTTATGTGATTATCTTTTAACTTGAAATATTTTTATGTTTACTTATTTCCTTACAATTTAGGTGGTCTCAAGTAAATTTTTACATTGGCATCGTTTTAGCAATATGGTTCATTGGTCCATTGCTGTACTTTAATAATGTCTTGTAAGTAATTAGGGTGAGTCAACAGAAATAAAGCAAATTTTTATTATAAAATTTTTACCAACAAGATTTAATCAAATAAAATAAAATTTTTTTAAAAAATTTTATTTTATTTGATTTATTTTTTTTTGATATTATCTTTGTTTAGTGCTTTAAAATTTTATTAGAAAATATTTGCTTAGTTTCTATTGAATCAACTCAATTATTTAATTATTTTCTTATAGAATCGTTGCATATTTTCGCCAATTAATTTGTTAATTTTATTTTAGTGATGCACAAAAATTTCCTTTCTTATCAACTTTTTCATTCGATAAAGATGGAAAAATGTAAGTATCGTTCTTTTATTAAATTTGTTAAACTTATTAAATCTATTAACCAATTTAAATAATTCTTTTTTGCAGATATAATCAGACAAGAGTCATAGATCCAGTAACTGACGATCTCAATGTTGCTGCATATGAAAATTATAGCCCTGTATATATGTCTGCTTTATTTGCCGTTGATTATGGTTATTACTTCATGCAATTTCCTGCAACCATTTGTCATGTGTTACTATTTCATGGAAAAGAGGTTTGGAATCGATACAAGAAAACTCGTGAAGAGGAGGAGGAGGCTGACATTCACTGCAAATTGATGGATGTTTATCCAGGTTTCAATAATATACTTATTTATTTATAATAATTATTTAGAAAAAAAATTTTTTTTTATTAAAGAAGATATGATATGCTTTATTATTTCTTATGTTGACAACAGATGTACCATATTATTGGTTTGGCTCTATTTTCATTCTCATGTTAATAATCGCAATTACACTTGGCTATACAACTGGTGTAAATTTACCTTGGTGGGGTGTATTGTTAGCTGTTGCTATCGCTGTATTAATGGTGCTTCCGATAGGTATAATATTTATATAATATTTATTATAATCATTAGTTTAAACCTCTTGTTTAAAATATTATCTCAAATATTCCTTGCCTGTTCAATAGGAATTATTCAAGCTATTTCAAATTGGCAACTTGGTTTGAATGTTTTGACTGAGTTGGTGTGTGGTTTAATTCTACCTGGAAATCCTATCGCGAACGTATATTTTAAAACTTATGGATATAGGTCCTTAGCTCAATGTTTGTTATTTGTTCAAGATTTAAAATTGGGTATGTCCCTTCTTTACGAAAAATTTTATCTTTGACAACATTATTTGGATATTACTATCAAAATTTTATTTTCTTAATTTTATTTTCTAATTAAAGGCCATTATATGAAAATTCCTCCAAGAAGCATGTTCACAGCACAAGTATGGGGTACAATTGTTGGCGTAATAGTAAATTATTGGACATTGTATATTATACTCAATACAAAAAGATCTTATATTGATGGTACAGAAGTTGATCCAACCGGCCAAGTAAGTGAATTTTGTTTTTTATCATTTGATCTGATTTTTTTGAACTTTTTTTAAGAGAATATTTCCTATTTGTGCTATTTGTGCTATTTGTGCGTGTAGTGGGTTGGTCTTAATTCACAAATATTCAATACTGCATCTATAGTATGGGGATTGATTGGACCGGTTAGGATTTTTGGGGTATGTTAACTGAGATAACTATTACAATATTTTAACAAATTACACATGAATATAATAAATATTCTTATGATTTTATGGTTTTCGATAGGCTGGCACACTTTATAACGTACTTCTCTGGGGCTTCCTAATTGGTGGCTTTTTACCAATACCATTTTACTTACTTCATCGAATGTTTCCAAAGGCAAAATTTGATCTCGTGAATGTTCCTGTGATATTAGTTGGTTTGGCCACTTTTCCCTCAACTTATCCAAATTTCATAATCACTGGGTTTATTGCTAGCTTTTTAAGTCAATATTATGCATTTCGTTATAAATATAAGTAAGTTTAGACCTATTATTATAAGCATATACATATGAATTACTGTAATAATAAAATTTCTTAATTAATTATTATAGATGGTGGAAAAAGTAAGTTTTTGTTCTTTCTTTTTTTTTTTTTTGTAATAAATAGTTTGAAATGATGCTCATTAATTTATATATGATAGATATAATTATGTATTATCTGCCGCATTTGACAGTGGTGCACAAGTCACGACAATAGTAATTTTCGTTTTTCTTGGCGGTCTTGCAGGGGTAGGTTATTCATTTAATATTTCTTTTACAGTAGAATCACATACCAAGTTTAAATTCATATTTTATTCTTGTGATCTGACATATTTTTCCCTTAGTTACAATTTCCAACTTGGTGGGGTTTTGATCCGTCAACTCAAAGTGAACACTGCTTTCCCATAAATAGAACTACTTTTACGTAGAACATTGAATAGTATTAATATTTGCTCTAAAATACAATTTAATTTATAAGATAATTGTTGTTGCGGATGACGCTTAAATTTGAGTCTCTGTGAAACACACAAAAGCTCATGTATTTTTTCTGTTATAAATTCTAATCCGAGATTCTTGCCCATCTTTAAAATGAAACCTAAAAAACACCACCGAAAAATTTTCAAGCTTCATACTAAAGGATGTTTAAATTTTAGCATCAATTAATTTTGATATTAAACATAACAATTCATAATACTAAGTTAAGAAATATTTTAATTACTTCCAAATTTATACTGTGAATGTTAATTTGCTTAAAATAATAAAATGTTCGTTGTTTATTATTTCATGTCAATTAAAATCGACAACTTGGTTTTAGAATCGTATGAATTTTATCGATTAACAATATATTAAATACTATTAATTGTATAAACTTTATAAACAAATGTGGTACGAGGCGTTGGGGCCTCATAATAATTTAATTATGATAAAGTATAAGTTATAATCTTTTTTTAAAAAAATAAGCATGAAATTTTTTAATTACCATTATTCATATATGTAAGTGATCCTCGAAAGAAAACTTTAACATTAATATTAATCATTAGGTAGTTCGATGGATCATTATAATAACTCCAAAGCTTTTCGATCTTGATCGATGTAGTTTAGTTTGTTTTCTTTTTAGTAAGGTTAGCTGTAACCAAGCTTCTATAACAATAGTCTCTGCATTAGGCTATTGCCGAAATTTGAGGTATGGATTTTTTTTAAAAAGTCAGTCTGCTTAATTTTTATAAATGACAGCCCATATATTGTTGGTAATTGTTATGAGAAAGGATTTATAATTGAAAAAGATGAATTTATTTATTAACAAAAATCTACTGATACGGTAACATTCTTGCAATAAATAATGCTAATATTGTTGTGAATTGAAAAGATGAGTGTAAAGTATTCAATTACTGTATTATAAAAATTTTAAAATTATTGGAATGGGGAATTTTTATCTTTATAGATTAGAATTGAAAAGGATGAATATAAAGCTTTCATTTATTATAAAAAATCTGCAGAAATGGAACTTGACATAAAGTGTAATGAATATTATTATTTTTTTCGATTCTGTGAACAGAATCAATCGGGTTTACACCATTTATCTCGATGAAATAATCGATATCTCATGATCCCAAGTCAGAACTATAAGAATAGCAATTGGGTTAATATAATTGATTTTTAAGAATTTTCCTAAAGATTTATTTGAATGATGCAAAAATTTTAATTATACAGCATAGCATCTACATTTTCTTAAATACAAAGAGTGCATCATCACATTTAAAAAGTTTAAAATGCATTTAAAAATTATATTAAAGACGTATTAAATTTTTTGTCAGAAACGAAAACGAAACGTATAGCAATAGTAAACCAAAATTGTATGTTATTTAAAGTCTTGCATTTCTTTAAACTTCATCATTTAATTTATGTTTAAGCTTTTATTGAGCTTGATGTTTTACGTGTATACAACAAAAATTTTATCAGAAACATAATCTGAGTTATTTCAATTGATAATCGACATAAAACTTGGCGCAAAAAAATATATTGTAAAAAACAATAATTAAAATAAAAATTTTAAATTGACAGTTTTCCTTTAATTTTCTAACTTATATATATATAATTTAATAATCTACAATAACTTTATTTATTACAAACTTTTTATAATAAGATCATGCTATAATGAATTAAGTATAATCTCTAATTTATAATATAATAGTTTACTGTAAATATTTTGACAAATTTAAATACTTTACACGTAATATAAAAATAATATAGTAAAAATAAGACAAAAATAAAGTTCAGCAGCTAAACTTTTTATACATAGATCTACAGTATATGACTTTTGGAATTCTATACGTGCGTTTAAAAATGTTCATTTTTTACTGTAGATGAGTATAATAAACCTATTTTGATCATTAGATATCTTGAACAGATCCTCTAAATAATGAATAACCTTATTAGTATTAATTTAGAAATAAATTTATTATAAAAAAATTTTTACATACAACACTTCAACTCATATTTAGCCATTAAGGCTCTGACCGAGACGCAAAAATCTTTAGAAAAGAGTTCATCAGATTCTAAGTCTTTTATAGTTTTATCAATCACCCTAATAAGCATATTGTTAAAATTCTGCTCATTTCTTGCAGAATTTAATTTATCCAAAAGATCATAAATAGTCGTTGATTGAATTTCCCAATATCCAATGAGTTGGCCCATTGCTGTTTTAATTGATTCGAAATTTGTTGCCACAATATCAATATAAGTTATCAATTCATCACTTTCTTTTACCAATTGCTTTCTGATTTCATTACTTTGAGATAGATAGCTTTTTCGGGAAATTTCACTTCCTATACCTGTACCTATTCAAAAAAAAAGACATTTTATTAACATAACTTAATTATATAATTTAAAAAATATACCTGATTTTCATAATTACTTACTTGCGCCACCTATAATAAGAGCCACATTTCCAGCTACCAAACCAACAATCCCACTTAAAATACCAATATTACGGAAAAAGGCCGAGGTTTTCATTTTAGTTTTAGTATTATCAAAGTCATCTTTAGATTTTGATTGAACGTTTTCCGGATCATGCTGAATATTTTCCTGATAACTATTCAGGTCATCACCAATTTTTACTAAATCATTTTTAATATTTCTAACATGAGCTTGCAATGTTTCCGCTGATTTTAGATTTGTTTTAGTATCATTCAGTAATGATTCTAATTCCTTATGATAATCATCGATGGAGAGAGAATTCTCTCGAAAACAGTTAAGAAATAATTGCAATTTAGAGGAATAACTACGAATTACATGGCTTTGTTGAATTGATTCTTCTAAAAAACTGATGAATTCCTCACGTTGAATATTAATTTCATTAACACTATTTTTGAGTACATAATCTTCAGCTTTGACTTCTACACACTGCCAAAACTTTTCAAGACTAGAAGCCAGATTATTTCTCATAAGTTTCATATTAAAATTCACGTAATTAACATCATGAGTCGAAGTATTACCATCAAAAAAATCAGTTGATATGTGAACCATTTTTTTAACTCAAAAAATAATTTTCTCTTTCGATATTTGATAAAGAATTTTTTCAGAGTTATGATCAACCCTAATCTTAACGTTAAAATATATATATGCATATTTAATCACATGGGATTTTACACATACATAATACGTAATTATACGTGTTACGTGTCACTTACATACTTGTGTGAGACAACCACTTAGAGATGCAAATTTAACTTTGTGGCGTTTATTAAAAATGACAAAAGTGAAATCCTATCGCTATATATATACCTATATAGCTAACTATGAATCTACAGCTAGAGATGGGTTACTGCAATGTAATTTTTATAACTCAGGCAGCTGATATAATTCTGGTGAGCAGCATTACAACAGATAAACAGATAATGATTTAAGTTTTGAAATTTTATTTGAAAAAAATTAATTGAAAGACCCCAAAATTAGTTAAATCCACCAATAATTAAACTGTATTGGTTGACTAATTTAAAACTATCATTATTATATTTGTTTTACCTTTTTTAGTGTTTTTTTTTCTTTTAAGGGTTTGTTTCACTCGCAAATAAGGATCAGCGTATAGATATAACAGATATATATTCAATTTCCATAGCTAATTTTATTCCAACGCAAAAAAGAAAATATTAACACAAACACTAACTATATCGGCGGATTTTTAAATAACTCTAATTAAAGGATATTAACTGATTGGTTGATAGTTTATAAGATTAAAATTTTAACTACGTAATATTGATTAATTTATATGTTGTACCTTAGATTAAAATAGGCGTTTGTTTGAAATTGAGCCGCGTAAAATTATAATTTAACTCTGAAGTGCGTCAAACTTGTTTTGTCATTTATGCGTCATACTGAAATACGAATAATAAATGTCATAATAATATTAATAATATTAATAGATTAATAATTGATTCGCTTAAAATTTCTTTACATATCATTCATGTATTTTGTATCGAACTAAATACTATTATACGCAAAATTTTCGATCTATTTAATAACTTCATTATAATATATGAAATGTAATTTTCTTTATATTCATTTAGATTCATTCTTTTTCACAACATTTTTTTTTATATGCCTCACAACCATTGCAAAATTTTAACGAACAAAAAATAACAGGACATCAATTATTACAAAAGATAGTAAAAACCTACTGTATGTTCTGCTAAAACCAACTATCTTGCTATACTACAACATCAAAACTATCCAACTTAGGTTTCAAGACTCCTAAAACTTTGAGGTGGAAGGGAGAAAGGAGGCGTGAAGAGATACCAAGGCTTACGGGGACTTACTGCGACAAAACTAGAGATTAGGATAAGTGTAACCTTGGATTATGCTTACACTAATTATGTTGTTTACTTCTTTTGGATACTAAAGATGACTCTTGTGCTCAAGTCTTGGCTAGAGTTGGGGCACGGGGTTTAGAGGCATGCCCTTTGATCAAAGGGCATATCATGATATAGAGCTACTATATAATTGGCCAATTATCAAATTAGCCAATTAGAATTAAAGCCTACTATTGCTAATTACAATAATATATAATATCTATAGGAGGCATGCCCTTCGCAAAGGCATGACCAAAAATTTGCCGTGCCCCCAACCGGGTATATAGTATATTAGTACAGTACGGTAGTATATGTTAGTATGGACATTAAAAAAAAAATAAATTAAAAAATCATACTCAGACGTACACATGCGTAGTACATAATCAATTACGTATACTACGCATATTGCCAAT